CGTGGCTATGCGAGACGGGTGGAGCTTGAGGAGAGGGTGGGGCTTCGGGAGAAGGCGGGGCTTGGGAGGTGGGCGGGGCTTGGGGAGGTAGGTGGGGCCTGCGAGAGGCGGGGCCTGGGAGATGGGCGGGACCTGGGGAGAGGGCGTGTCCGCTTGGGGGCGGGGCCTGGGTAGACCGAGGGTCCTGGATATATAGGGTGTGTCTCCCAGGGGGCGGAGCCTGGATATGGGGCGGGGCCTGGGAGAGGGCGTGTCTACTTGGGGGCGGGGCCCGGATATTGGGTATGTCCCTCCTAGGGGGTGGGACCTGGATACAGGGTGTGTCCCCCTCAGGGGAGGGGCCTGTGGAGGGCGGGGCAAGATAAGGGTGGGGACAGGGGACCCCTGGGCCTGCAAGAGTGGAGGACTTGGGGAGAGGGCGTGTCTCCTCAGGGGGCGGGGCCGGGGAGAGGGGGGTGTCCCCTTATGGAGCGAGGACTAGGAGAGGGTGTGTCTCCCCAGGAGGGGCGGAGCCTAGGGCAAGGGCGTGTCTCCCCAGCAGGGGCGGGGCCTAGGGAGAGGGCGTGTCTCCCCAGCAGGGGCGGGGCCTAGGGAGAGGGCGTGTCTCCCCAGCAGGGGCTGGGCCTAGGGAGAGGGCGTGTCTCCCCAGCAGGGGCGGGGCCTAGGGAGAGGGCGTGTCTCCCCAGCAGGGGCGGGGCCTAGGGAGAGGGCGTGTCTCCCCAGGAGGGGCGGGGCCTAGGGAGAGGGTGTGTCTCCCCAGGAGGGGCGGGGCCTAGGGAGAGGGTGTGTCTCCCCGCAGGTCGTGTCCCTGGGGAATGGGCGTGGCCTGGGGAGAGGCGGGGTCTCTTTCAAGAGGGCGTGGCCCAGGGAGAGGGTGTGGCCCAGGAGAGGGCGTGGCCAGCGGAGAGGGCGTGGCCAGCAGAGAGGGCGTGGCCTCCAGATAGGGCGTGTCCCCTCGGGCAGCCAGGTCCCCCCCTCCCCCCCCACCTCCCAGCGGGGCGCCCACGTGGGCGCCCAGGGCAGTCAGTTGCATGGAAGGTTCTGGAAGCTGCGTCTCCATGGCGGTTCATTAACTGCTGGGGTGTCAGAGGTCACAGGACCCGCAGCGGTGTAGACGGGGGCGGGGTGCGAGGAGGACCCGGGCGTGGCGGGTCGCTGCGGGGTGTCCCCACCTGTCCCTGCAGAGGCTCCTAGCCCCTCCCCCATGCAGCTCGCGGGGGAGGGGCTGCAGAAGGCAGGTGACCGCCCGGCTCTCACCTGGAGCCCACCTGAGGCCCTGGTGGCCCTTCCCCAGGGTCCCCTCCCCAGGGTCCGGGTCCCCCAAAAGCCGGGCTGGGCAGGCGGGGCTGTCCCCGGCTCCCCGACTCCAGCTGTGCCTCTATTTACCCGTCAGGCCTGGGGGGACAAGGCCCAGCCCGGCAGCCCTGCAGGTGGCAGTCGATGGCACCAGACACAACCGCCACCGAGCTCACTGTGCACACAGTGCCGACTGCCAGAGGGGAAATGGATTGAGGACTGTCATCCCAGCACTCTGGGAGGCTGATGGGGGAGGATCGCTCGATGGAGGTCAGGAGTTGGAGGCCAGCCTGGGCAAGAGCGAGACCCCGTCTCTACTAAAAAAATTAGAAAGAAATGAGCAAAACAACAAAAAAATATATAGAATTAAAAAATTAGCCGGACGCAATGGCTCTCGCCTGTCAACCCAGCACTCTGGGAGGCCGAGGCGGGAGGATCGCTATCGAGGTCAGGAGTCGGAGGCCAGCCTGAGCAAGAGCGAGACCCCGTCTCTACTAAAAATAGAAAGAAATTAATTGGCCAACTAAAAATATGTATTAAAAAAAACGAGCCGGGCGTGGTGGCGCATGCCTGTCGTCCCAGCTACTCGGGAGGGAGGCCGAGGCAGGAGGCTCGCTGGAGGCCAGGAGTTGGAGGCTGCTGTGAGCCACGGCGCTCACTCTAGCCTAGGTGACAGAGCGAGACTCTGTCTAAAAAAAAAAAACAACCCGAAGTTCGGACCTTGAAAATGTCGCACTGGGTCACAGTAGCCAGTTGCAGAAGTGGACACGTTGTGCGATTCCACTTTTACCGAATATCCGGGGTCGACAGAGAGTCGATTTGTGGGTCCCTGTCGCCAGGGGTGACAGAGGACACTGGGGACGGGTGGGTGACTGCTAGTGGGCACAGGATTCCTTTCCGGGGGGTTGTGCGATGAAAATATTGTGAGGTGACACGATGGTGATAGTTGTGTGACTTTCTGACTGTACCGAAAACCACCGAATTGCGCATGTTATTGACTGTATATTAATTGCATTATAAGTCGATTATATATCTCGATAGCGGGGTCTTAATTTTATTATTATTATTATTATTTTTTGAGAGACAGAGTCTCGCTCTGTCGCCCGGGCTGGAGTGAGTGCCGTGGCGTCAGCCTCGCTCACAGCAGCCTCCGACTCCTGGCCTCCAGCGATCCTCCCGCCTCGGCCTCCCTCCCGAGTAGCTGGGACCACAGGCAGTGCGCCCCACGCCTGCTCGTTTTTTCTCTTATATATATATTTTGTTCCAATTAATTTCTTGTATTTTTTATAGGAGACGGGGGCTCTTTGCTCAGGGCTGGCCTCCAACTCTGACCTCGAGCAAGCCTCCGCTCAAGCCTCCCAGAGTTGCCTCGATGACAGCGTGAAGCTCCGCGTCCGGCTCCTTTTATTTGCTGAGAGGCCGAACCCTCCCGCGGCACGGCGCTCCGGGGAGCCGGTGGACGCGGAGCGACTAGAGCGAGGCCCTTGCCCGCGCAGGGACCGGGAGGTGAGCCACCTCAAGCAGTGGATCACGGGACCCATGACCATGTCACACAAGGAGGAGAGACGCCGCCGAGCTGGAGTAGTCCCGCTCTTCCACTTCGGGGAGACAGGGTGACTAGCAAGTAGGCCGGGGCGGGGAGGGACAGGGGACAGACAGGGAAGGGACAGGACACGACGGGACAGGACAGGCGACGAGGGACAGGAACAGTGGACAGGACAGGGACAGGGACAGGGACAGGACTGGGACAGGGACAGGGACAGGACAGGGACAGGGACAGTGGACAGGGGACAGGGACAGGACGGGTGACGGGGACAGGGACGGGCCAGGACAGGACAGGAACAGGGACGGCGCAGAGGGACAGGATGGACGGGACAGGGCAGGGAAAGGACAGATCACGGGACAGGGCAGGAAGGACAGGACAGGGCACGGGACAGGGCAGGGACAGGGACAGAGGACAGGACAGGGACAGACGTGGGACAGGGAGGACAGGGGCAGACAGGACAGGACAGGGACGGGACAGACAGGAACAGACAGGACGGGAGGGTGGCCCAAGCCAGGTGCAGGGCGAGAATATTCCACTCAGGTCACCAGCGCCTGGCAAGGCTCCCTCCAGGGCACCCGGGAGGAAGGGCGGGCCTTCGGAGAGGCATGTCTGGTGGCGCTGAGATTTTGATTGTAGGTGAGGTCTGCACCCTGTTGTAGGTGGGTGGGGGCTACTGAAATGGCTTAGGAAGGGCGTTGGCCCTGGGTTAAGTAGGGCTGAGGATTGTTACATGTGGTGTGGCGATGTCTCTCTCCCCTTTTGAGGGGTGTGGTCCTGAGTTGATCTTTTGGAGGCGGTGCCCTTTAGGGGGTGAGGTTCTTGTGGGTTTATTTGTGGGTTTCAGCTTTGATGGGGTGGGCCTGTGAGGATTTATGTATGGGATGCCCTTTGGGGGTGGGTCTTTTTGATGATTTGGCAGTATCCGCTTTTGGGGTGGCCTGATTGAGGTTTGGTTTTGAGGCTGGTGCTCTTTGGGGGTGGGCCTGTGGGTGCCTGTTTGAAGTTGGATGTGTCTTTTGGTGGTTGGTTTGGCCTTTGGTGATTTTGTAGTTTTGAGGCATGACCCGTTTTTGGTTTGGGCCCTTAGAGATGGTGGATTTTGATGTTGGCGTGTGTCCTTTGTGTTTGGCCTGTGAGTAAGATTTTTTGTTGTTAGTGGTATCAGTGTGTGGCACCTTGTTGTGTTGTGGCCTTGTGATGATGGTATATTGTTGTTGGATGTGGCGTGCTTCTTTTATGTGCGCGTGTTGGGTGTGGGGCCTGAGGAGTAGTAGTGTTTTTGTGTGGTCGTTGTGCGCTTTGGGGTTGGCCTTTGTAGTGGATTTTCTGAGGCGTGACCTTTGGGTGTGTTGGGGCTATTCGTTTTTTTGGTTTTTGAGGGCAGTCCTTGTTTGGGTTTTGTGATGTGTGGTGCCTGGATATTGTAGCGTGTGTGTTGGTGTTTTAGGGGGCGTGTTTCTCCTTTTGGCGTGTGCCTGTTGGTTGAATTTTTTGTTGTTGAGAGGGTTTGTGTTGTCCTTTTTTGGTGTGTATGGCCTTATATGATTTTTGTTTGATGGGCTGTCCCTTGTGAGGGTGGGCTTTAGAGGCTTTTGCTCCCTCCTTTTTGGGTTTTTGTATTTCATTGTATTTTTGAGTTGATTGTTTGTGGTGGGCTGTGTATTGAAGTTTATGTGTGTTTGTTATTCTGAGTGTGCCCTTTGGGGGTGGGTGGCTGCTTTGATAAGAGGTAAATGCTCGCCCTTTTTTGTGGTGGGTCCTGTGAGGAGGTGGATGGGTCAGTTGCTCGGCCTTTGGGGGGTGGGGGGGGCCTGATGGTGAGGTGGTTTTGGTTGGCGTTTGTTTTCTTTTTATGGGGTGGCGGCCTGGTTTTGTATGTTTTTTGTTTTTGTTGTTTTGGTTGGTTGATGGGCTTGATCCCTGGTGCTGGTTTGCCTGAGGATGAGGCTGGCCTTTTTTGGGTGGTGGGCTCCTGAGGGTTTGTGTGATAGGCGTGACCTTTTGGGTGTTTTGGGTGGCTTGAGGTGATCTTGTGGTGGTTGTATTTTCTGATGTTTGTTGTCTCGCTTTTTTGGGGGTGGGCTCTTAGGATTATGAGGGCGGAGTTCTCTTTTGTTATTGTGGGCTGTTTCTTTAGGATTGAGCTGTCTGTTGGGTGCGGGGTCCTTGAGGTATTTTGTAGGCGTTAGTGGTGTGTGTTTGGTCCCTTTGTGTTGTGTGTGGGGTCTGATGATTTTGTTTTGGGGGAGGAGGGCGTGTCCCTTTTGGTGTTAGGCGGTATTTCCTTGGGTATGGTTTCGAGGGGCGTGCCTACTTTTGGTGGTGTTGGTCTGGGAGTTGGGTGGTGTCCTTTTGTGTTTTGTTGTATGGTTTGGGGTTCGTTGTGGAGGTTGATGAGTGAATCTTTGGGGTGCGGTGTGCGCTCAAGAGAGGCGGGCCTGGAAAGAGGGTTGTCCTTTCAGGGGCGGGGCCTGAGGAATTTTGAGTTTTGATGATATCCTTTTTTTTCAGGGGCGGGCTTCGTGTAGTTGGTTATTTGGTAGTTGGTTATGATGAGGGTGTTTGGTCCCTTTTGGGCTGGGTCTTTGGGATTGATGAGTGTTGGGGATGTTTTTTTGAGGGCGGTATTGTTGGCCGTGAGGGTGATATCTTGGGTGAGTGCCCTTTTGGGGGCAGGGCCTTCATAATTGGGGTTATTGTTGTTGATGGGTTCGGTTTGTTTTTATTTGGCTGGGATATGTGTTTTGATGGTTGGTGTGTCCGACTTTCGGTTGGCTTTGTGGTCGCGGATCGTGTTTTTTGTTGAGTTCTGGAGCTGAGTGGAGTGGGGGTGAAGTCGTGCGGGTGTTCCATCCCAGGGGCGGGATTTTAGGGGCACTAATGATAGGGCGGTTTTGTTTTGGTGACAGAGGATGGGCTGTATGTTCTACGGCTGGTTGCTGTGTCGGGCCTGGTTTTATGGCAGTGGTGCTAGTTTGACTGGGGATATATAGTTTGTGTGTGATATTTTAGTGTTTTCTTTGTGGTGTTGATTGTGTGGTTTGTAGGGGTATTTGTGTTGTTTTTTGTATTAGATTTTATTTTTGTAGTGGTTGTGTTGTGTTTGGAGTTGTGGTAGGTGGGTTTTTATTTTTTGTTTGTTTTGTTGTTGTTTTTTTTTATTATATGTATGTTTTTTTATTTGTTGTTGGGTTTGTATGGTTTTGGTTATGTGGTTTGTTTTGGTTTGTTTGTTGTTTTTGTGTTGGGGGTGTAATGTTGATGGGTGTGGGGGGGGGATGGTTGGTTTTTGTGGGTGTGTGTTGTTGGGTGATTGGGGGTGTGGATTTTGGGGGTGTTTTGGTGTGTCTGTTGTGTTGTTGGGGTGTTAGTTGTGGGATGTGTGGTTTTGTTGAGGGTTTGAGGGATATTGTTTTGTATTTTTGGTATGGGTTATTGGGGTGTGTGGGTTTTGTGATTTTTGGTGGTTGTGGTATATGCTGTGGTGGGAATGGATTGTGGGCTGTGATTCTTTGGTTGTGGGGGAGGTGTGTTGGTTTTTTGGTTTGTGGTGTGTATGTGTGGTAGGTGTGTGGTTTGTTTGATTTGTTTATTTTGTGTGGATGTTGGTTGGTTGAGATTTGGGTATGTTGGGTGTGTTTGGGTGGTGTGTTATTTTAGGTGTTTGGGAAGGGAGGTGATTGGGCTAGGGTTTTCTGTGTGATGTGCGGGGCCGGTGGGAGTTCCCAGCAGTGGGGCAGGACCGATTTATGAGAGGGTTGTGTGTTCGTGTGTTTGTTTTTGGTTGTGTGGAGATTGTGCTTGGGTTCTTGGGTGAGTGGTTTGTGCTTGAGGCTATCCTTGGCGGGCCTGTGGAGTGGAGCGGTGTTCGCGTGTTTTGAGGGGCTCGATGCTCTGGGGAGGTAGAAGGGTGGCGGGGGTTCTGTCTGGTTTTTGGAGATGGGTGTGTCCTTTTGGAGTTGGCGCTCATTGTACTGGATGAGGGTGTGTCTCGTGTGCTGACGCGCCGGGCTGGTTATGTGGCGGTGGTGCCTAGGAAAGTCGGATCCTCCATTCAGGGCGGAGCTGGTTGTTTGGGGTATGGATCCATTCTCTAGGTGGTAGGGCTGAGATTGGATTTAAGGAGGGCGGGGCGGGATTAAGTTGTGTTGGGTGTCCGTTTGGGTGGGTTTTGTCGTTTTTGGTTAGAGTGGGTGGTGGTTGCTTGGTATTGTGTTGTGAGCGTGTCTGCACCAGGGGCTAGGCTGGATTAGAGGGTTTGCGCCTTTTTGAGGGGGTTTTTGGGGGCGCTGGTGGATGGGAGGTGGGTGCCTGTGGGATCAGGGTGTGGTGGCCTTGGGAATTAGACTGGGTGTAGGTGTTGTCTTCTCATGGGTGCGGCCTAATTGAGGGCTGGTCTGGGGACAGGTTGTTGTATGGGTGCGAGTGCCACCGGGGGCGGCCTGGATAGTGTGTCCTTTGGCGGCTGGAGGGCGGGCTGGGGGAGAGGGCGTGCAGGCAGCGTGTCCCTCCGGCAAGCCGGGCTCCCGGAGCCTCCGCTGTTGGCGCGTCGGGCATCGGCGCCGGGCCGCTCCCGTGCCTCAGCAACGCTGAGCGCTACTGTTATACCGCTTCGCGCTTTGCAAGCCTTTGGCCTCCGGGAATCGGTCCATAGGCTCTTTTCCTTTGGCGGAGGGGACTGGGCCCCTTTGGGGGTAGGCCAGTCACAGGCAGGACCCAGTGAGGCTGAGTCACTGTGGGTGAGGTGTCGGGTGGGAGTCTCGATT